TAAAAGGTATTTTTGGCAGTCGCGTCTTTGAAAATGCCTTTTAGTGGTGACAAATGTCGCTACTGAAAGTGTCTTTCAGTGGCAACAAAAAAGTTGTCACTAAAAATATCTTTTAGCGACACAAAATTTTCATGTGTACCAAAAGCGTCTTTTAGTGGAGACAAAGAAGTCATCACTAAAAGTGATACTGGAGAAACAGGTCTCACTACTAGCTGGCCGTAACATCATTGCCACATCACCACTCTCTTGCCATGTCATTGCTCAAATATTTTCAACTTAAATGTGTTTTCTTTAATGTTCAAGTTGCTGACCACCTCTTTTTGTGTCTAATCTTCTTGACATTGAGTTGCATTGAATTTGATGATTATTATTATAAACAAATATATTTTATTAAATTATATTTTCAATAGCAACTCTTCAACAATGACTATAGAAAGTTGCCGCTAAAAGTTAGTGACTAAATGTAGACCCTCGAAGACTTTCAGCAACAACAATACGAGTCATTGCTGAAATTGTATGCCCTTTAGTGATGGCTCTATTGACAGTATGCATTTGACAATTTTATCAGCAACTCTAGAAAGTCACCGCTAACTGTATGCCATTTAAAGACATTTGGTGACAAAAAAAGTCATCATTAAATGTGAGATCTTCAATGACAAATCTAGAAAGGTGTTGATCAATGTGTGCCCGTTAAAGATTTTTTTATTGATGTTAAATGGCATACTTTCAGTAATGACTTTTTTGTCACCTCCAGTGATTCTTTTTTACACTAGAAAGTGCGTAGGTAAGCACCTGAGGGTTTGTCATAGATTCGTCCTGCCCAACATGATATGACCTGAAAGGAGTTAGATCAAGTGCACCCTACCCTAAATTTGGATTGAGCCCGAACTACTACTTCAAATTTATGTACAAAAAATGTGATCAAAAATTAGAAGGAAATATGGGGGCAAATTTACCTGTATGCTATAAAGAGTAAAAAACTCATCCAAATCCTAAAAAGTGAAATGGTTGTACTTAAATGCTGTATATAACTAAAATCGTTTGGGCAAAGAATAACTTTAAAATTGTGAAGAACTTGTTCTGAGAGTGATGAAGTTTAACTCATTATTCTTTTGATCTCTCTTCCCATCAAATCACTTTTAATTCTGACATTTTTTTTTACAAAGATCAAAAGCTAATCGTCCAATTCCCTTTCCTAATTTCTATAACATCCTAGATTTTGGACCCAAGAGTACAAGAATTAGGCTAAAATAGGTAGCCTACCAAGCCTTTTGTGGCATGAGTTCAGGAAGTTCCCTAGAGGGATAGAGGGATTTCTAGGGACTAAATTGCAAAGTAAAAGTTTTGTAAATTGATAAAATAGGAAGATAGAGACTCTAGTGAAGCTTCAAGGGATCCAGTATAATGAGCTGAGATAATTAAGTGCTAAAGGTTATGCTAGGAACCTCAATGAGAGGATTCCTGAGGACTAAACCCTAACAAGGACCTGATCGTAAATTTGAAAAGTTTTAGATTAAAAAGAGCAATGATAGAAAGTATGCCCAAAAATTCTAAAAAAATTCTAAAAAAAAATAGGAAATAAGGTTTTAAGCTTCGTATGGGGTTAAAAATGATAAAAATACCCTTGGACCAGACTAATGAAATTCCCAGAGTTTTGGCTAATTATGAATATTAGTCAAAATAGAATTATTTAAAATATGAGGAGGCCTCAAATAATTGGAAAAAAAAGAAGAGAAATAATACTTGAGGAATTATCATAGGTTTTAAAAATAATTCTTTCCCCAGAAAGCAAAGAGGTTGGTTTTAATAGAATTTAAAGCCTATTTATATACTATATAGGAAAAGTCAAAATAAATTGTTTAGAGATTGACTTTTGACTTAAAAAAAATTAAAGAAATTTTTCATGATGAAATGATAGTATTGGTACCCAGAAAAAGATTCTCAGAGTTATGAATCGGTAGAAAGAATTTGGTCAAATTTCCCCCGAAATAAATATTATTAAATATTTTAATAGAAAAATAAGAAAAGAGCATCACTTCCTCTTTAAACATGTTATATAATGCCATGTGAAGTTAATTGTGATGAAAAAAGAGTGTCAGAACATGTCTTAGGGTTATTGGGTAAGTCAGGACTCAAAAAAGTACCCGATACGATATAAAATAGTAAAATCGGTGGAGGAACAGTCAAGGGTACAAGGGAGGACGAATTTCTCCCTATTTTCTTCATATTTAATATAAATTTGACGAAGGCACATGGATGGAGTAATACATTTTGTTAAAGGTTAAGCTTGGAAAAATAAAATTATGTAATAAACCACACGTGTAATAAGTGGCACATGTGAGGTGGCTTATGGCATTGAATGAAGGGGACACCTAATGGGCTCATGTGGCAAAATCAAGATGGAAGGCAAGAGGATAAGGGATACACGAAAAAGAGATCAAATGAATAGCCAAGATCAAGTCACACACACAAGATCAAGGCTAGGATTTGAGCAAGAGAAAGAGCAAAGGAAACCATATAAAATCAAGCTCCAAGATAAGGTATGTTTATGGTTTTTAATGTGGTTTATCTTGCTATTTGTCTTGTTGAGCTTAGCCATAGTTTTGATAGATTTTGGAAGCTTGAAACCCTAGGTTAAGATGCTGTTCAATTGTGTTTAAACCATGAAAAATAATTATTGATGCTAGAATCATGTTTAAAGATTTAAAGGAGATGAGAATTATGTGGTTTTGAGATGATTTATGAAAGATTTCATAGTTGTGTGCCGAGGGATATATTTCAGCTAGAGCTGGTTCTTGGAGCTAAGATTAGATTTTGATAATTTTGATGCTTCCAATGTATTTAAAATAAAAAATTGTATGGAGTAGATGTAAGAAAACAAGTTTGAAAGTATTGAAATTAAAAATAGAATTTTGAGCCCTAATACTCTATTTTTCAGCTAGATTAATTTGATTAGGGAGGAGTTGGATTTTATTTAATTTAAAACTTGAAAATGTATTCTACATACAAAATTTATGTTGGGAATAGCATGTGGAATTAATTTTAGAAAAGCTGGAAACCAAACTCAAAAGTTAGAAGTTAATCTGGTTCAAAGAAAATAAAGTGTTGATGTTGTTGGTTATCATGGCTCTAATAAATAAACAGAAATGATATGTTGATGTATTTATGGCCATGAAACATCAAGGAAGATGAATGACAAAGGTTGAGCAAATAACTTTAATGGTTGGAAGCAAAGGAAATGAAAAAAGCTAGAGAAAAGCTCAAATACAAAAGGTAGTGAACTTAACTTTATTGTGTGACTGATATGTATCTTTGTGTGTTAATGTTGCTTAATGATGATTTAGACTATGAAAGATTGAATGTTGCTCTATTTTTTATATATTCCATGGCCATGTGTGAATGTAACGTTGAGCATTAAAGCATGTCATTTTATAAGCACTAGCATGAAAGCATATAACCAAGCATGTTATCCACCAAGCATTAGTATTGCATACTTGTGGGTAATTGTTTGCTACTTAGATTTTTCTAAATCTCACCCTTCCTTAACCAACCTTAATAAGTGTTAATGAGCAAGCAAGAGCGCTTTAAAGCAGTCTGGATCAATGTGGACTGCCACCGACGCTTTAAATCAGCACCAACACTTCCGACAATCAAAACAGAACCAGCAACTGCTATGGAGCAATGTGGACTGCCACCAACACCTCCAACAACAGGGGAGCCAATGAGCGCTTTAAAGCAGTCTGGATCTACACTCAACTTTTACAACTGCTACAGGGCCAATAAATGCTTTGAAGCAGGAAACTACAGTAGTGCCAATGAATGCTTTGAAGCAGTCTGAATTGACACAAACACCTCCTGCAGCTACGGCAATACCATTGAATGCCTTGAATCAGAATGCATCCACGAGCAATTCAGCACCACCAGATGCCCCTCGACAGGTAGCAGACTCTAAGGAGGGAAGTATCCCAACTGCCATGCCACCAACTGTAGCATCTTTGAAGGACTTCCTCGCATGACTGGTATTGTTACTGTGCTTTTGATATTTGCGCATGGGAGATGATGGTGTGGTTTAAGTTATTTTTGTCTGTAAATAAAGCATTCCATTGAAGGAAATCTGTTAAAGTGGCCTCCAACAAGCTTCTAGAGTGCACATATTTCTCCCAGGAAGCTTCATATTCCCCCTTAGTTGGAAATTTCGTCGGCAGCAATGCCAATATGTTGCCTGATGCATTACGAAGAGGCATATGAGAACGCTGAATAGTTGGTTCTTTATTTTTACCTTTTTGTGATGTGTTCTCTTCAATTTTGATTCATTATAAATACAACCATCTCACGCATTATCCCCCTTCCCCCACAGGAAAAAAAAAAATTATACTGTAATGTTACTACGCATTAATGTTGTGCAAGCTGAAAGGTTTCAGTATTCCACGGTTGCCATTTTCAGCAGGTTGCTTAGAATTATTAAGGCCAGAAGTCATGAACGACTGCACAGCTCAAATTGCAAAGTAAACTGTGTTCATATATTAATGCTTAAAAACTATATTTGAGTAGTCATGGGATACCTGTTGGATTAACGGGCAGGACCAAAGAAAATAAAAAGTAACGCACGTTATAACAGGATTAACGGGCAGGACCAAAGAAAATAAAAAACAATGCACGTTATGCGTGAAACCTGTATTTAGGATGCAAAGTTGTGCTAGCTAAAATACTCTAGATCCAGCCAAGTTGGAAATGAGCAAAAGTAGAATGTTACTGTCAAACAAAGAATCATTTTGATTGACTTCCTTGATATGGACTGAGATTTATAGAGGCAGCGTGTTAGCTGCAACTAGGATTTGAGGGCCCTAATTTAACATCTTATGACGAGATTGACCACTAATCAATATGCCACTTTTCAACTACAGAACTAATTGCATGGATATAAATATGTTATGAGGGGTAGTAGGATGCATTATATGTACCTTAGATGACGTAAAATAAATGAGATAGCTCAGGAGGCGATCTAATTAAGTCGATATCTCATTCACATTCCTTCTCTAATTACACAATGTAGATGACAAAACAAAAACCAGGAATTCAACATTAGACGTGGCAGAAGTACCAAATGGATGATATGACACAAAAGTACAGAAACAACATCCACTTATCACGAGGGACGACCCTCGTTGACAAATAAGATTTCTATTCTGGGCCCATGGCAAGATCATGCCAAGCATCCGCATTGACTTGTTGGGTCTCCTGATCTGATTAACAGCAAAGCAATGTGCAAGTACCGGATACAAATCTCCAATAAAAGGCGCGCAATTATTATAATCTCAGTCATTTGTTTCCCGCACAGGTGTCCAAAGATATGCTTTAACAATCTGGACATCAGTATTTCACTCTTTCTTCTTTTATTTTCCCCTCTTATCTTGCGTCACAAGATTTTATAGACTAACAAACATGAAGTTACCTAACAATCACGTTAAATTTAAGCTTTTACATTTTTATGGAAGTGAAGAAAGAGTTTATCCAGAAACTCCTATATGAATAATAAAGAACATGACTCAATTAAGATTTGAGATAACATACTTGAGTCCTCAGTATCATCTGTCCGAACTATCAGTGTTGGAGGTAACGGAAAATCTGTAAGAACAATAGGTTAAGGCGCTTTTACATCAAGCTCAAATGACTATAACAGAGACATTCTTCGCTATGTTTGTAACCACAGGAGCTTACATCCCAATAAAACAGCGTAAGAACATACCATCATCAGGGAGTGTATCTCTCATCCATTCCTCATCAACAATATCAATAAGAATACCCAAGCTCAGTTCTGCCATATTTGATCATTCAACAGCCTACGCCCTATTCGTATTTAAAAAAAAAAACCAAAAAGAAAAAGAAACAAAAAACATGAGAGCGGGGATGAAAAGCAAAAGAAGTGACACACAAATCTTTAACATAAGGATCCTAGTCCCAACAAGCTCGGAGCAAAACTGAAGTGTATAAGATATATTAAACGAAAAACAGAATGTTAATTCTCTTATGCAGTGTCACACGTCGATTGTGATATAAATCTAGATCTAAAATTAGATAGGATCGAAGGCTCATTTCTTAACCATGATCAATTACGGCTGTAGATCAGCAAGATCATAATTTTGAGTATTTAACATTAGAAATTCTCTTCAATGGGACTTGCAATGCTGGTTACCAAGCAAGTATTGAAAAAGAAGAAAAGAAACTAAAGCAATCCACAATGGTAGATTCAAAATTAAAAGAAAATTAAAATAGATGGAGAAGAATACACACAGCACTTACATTTGCACAATGATGTCTAGATCATAAATTATGAATTATTTTCTTTTCCCCCAAGAGTAAGTCATTTTTGTTTCGTTTATTATGAAACATTTTCCTTAAAAACCTAAATCAAAAAAGAAAAATTAGAAAAATCTTGAACGATTCGTTGACAGTCTTGTGTATGTTAGTCCCTTCGTTCCTTATATACATGGAGATGGAGAAATTTTAATCAAAGAAAAACACACTTTCTTGGCATCCAAACAGCATTCCTCAACTATAATCAGCTTTTACCCTCAAAACATTTCAAACAGAAAGATTATATAATCTGGAAATTTTTCCAGCAATTTAAACGTTAGCTTAAGCTTTTGCTTAACATCCTATATCAACAACTTAATCTTTATAAATACCAAACAGCAAACTTCAATTAGAGTTTCAGCTTTATAAAATCCTCTTCTAAGCACATTAAAAAGTTCAAATTCAACAAAACTCAATTCTTTCCCATCCAAGTACATTGGCCGAAACAGAAGATGAGAATTTTCATAAATCAAACTTTACTATTCTCAAACATACCATAGAGCACTCTGAACACTGTACATACTTAACTCTCCAATTTATTACTCCTTTAGTCTGTCCTAGATATAAGAACTTTTTGCAGTGTAAATTACACTACAAAAGGCGGAGGAGTGTAAATTTAACTCGTAAACTTTATCAAAACAGTCAGCTTTTATTCAGTTTCTAACTTCCAGATTTTCAACATTCTCGTATAACTTCACAAGAACTGAACAGCACAAACGACATATACTTTATGCTAACAACATTTATATTTCATGTAATGCACTTAGACTACTCAAATTCCATCAATACGAGAACATTCCATCTCTTTTATAATTTTCAAAGAGCACCTCATGCCTCTAAAAGATCGGAACTTTCCTATTGTTTTGCTTTAGTTTCAGTCGCCTCTTCCTCTTAAACCAGTACCCAATCGAAGAAATAGAGGTTACAGGAAGAATCAGGATGATCACCTTGGTTCAAAGACCGATTTGCCTGTGGCTTATCTCCTCCCCGATCTCTGATTCCTCTCGTCTCGCTCCCTCTTCTCTTTCTCTGGCTCTGTTTTTCTCACTCCCTGTCCCACCTTCCCTCTAATATAGACTCCCCCAAGCTTCTTCGACACGATTCGTGTCCAAGAAGGCGAGTAATTCGTGTAGTTCAAGCTAAAGTAGAGAAGAGATGAAGATGGGAAAGGGATTGACAATGTGTTGTGCAACAAGGAGAGGATGAAGCGGAGGCACCGCCGCGGCAGAGAGCGCGGGTGATTTTTGGCACAAATCAAAAGACTGTTTTGCCCTCGTGTTAACAATTTAATCCCAGATCTACCCTTCTGCAAATTTTATTATTTTTAATACGTTATAGGATATCCGGCATCTTGAAATATTTTTTTAGATATACCCAATATTCTAAAATATTTTGTGGTGTATCTAATATCTTAGAATATTTTCTAGGTGCATCTAGCAACTTAAAATTTTTTTCTTTACTTTGATGCTGGACACACTAGAAAATATTTCAGGGTACTGGATGCACTAAAAAATATTTCAAAATGCTGGACGCATCTAAAAAAAATATTTTAAGGTGTTGGATGTACAAAAAAATATTTCAAGATACTTGATAATGGACACATTTAAAAAAATACTTTGGGTGCTGGATGTATCACAAAATATTTTAGAATACTAGATGTACATAACCTTTATAAAATATGTCTTTCACATTTAGCTTATTTAATCGATAAAATAATTTTTGGAAAATTTCCTGAAAATCAATCTCTAACTATTTTTTTTGAATTTCTCCAAAAAATAAGCTTTAATTTATGAAATTAGCTTTCAAATTATATCTACCTCTTTTAGGACATAAACTCTTCCATAAATATTTTATTTCCCAAAATAATTAGCTATAATTGTTCTTAATTATTTTGAGTCTTTATATATTTTTAACAACTATTTCTTTCTTAATTTTTCTGAATTCCTTACCTTGAAAATAGACTTTTAATGAAATTATTTTTTAAGCATCTTGTTGACGCTAGCTTCAAAATTCAAAATATTACAAAAGATATGTTTATGGTATTAGCTCTTTTATTGAGTGGCATGATCTGCGAAGCATGCCCTCTTTTTTCGTGGAAAAAAAAAAGAACGACAAAATGACATATATTAAAAAAAAACCTGCGAAAATAGGGAATATATCTGTTATTGAAATTTTAATTAACAAATAAGACTTAAAGACTTTGGGTAACTTAACTGCTATTGTGTGCAATTTATGTTCCCTTGTGTTCAATAATCTTTCTTGGTGTGATATTCAACTCAATTTTTTTTTGGTGCAAATGAAATTCTTTTATGTGCAAGTTATCTTCTTTATGTACAAATTGATCCCTCATATCCAAATAGTTTTGTGCAAATCATCTCCTCTTTATGCAACTTATTTTTCTTTGTATGCAACTAATCTTTTCTTAAGCAATCAATCACTTTAGAGACTATTTGCCAATTAAATTTGTAATGAGGGATTTATCTCAATTTTTTCTTAAAAAATGCCTACTTTATAAGAATTAAAACTAAGAAAACAATCTACACTGTACTAAGCCGTCTTATATTAGGAAAATTTCAAATCATGTTGATAAATTTTACAAATCTTTAATTGATTCATGGACCTAACTTAGAATTCGCGAATTTAGGCATTTTATCACATTACTCCTCATGTTTTTCCTCCTCAAAGTCACCTATCTCTGTTTTTTTTTTTTTTTTTAAAGGCACCCCTGCCAACAGTACTAATTCCATTCCAAGTAGCACTTGAAGCACCTCGTCCTACTAAAGCCGCCAACTAGCCACAAACAACACTAATATATTTACTCTTTGATCTACAATAATCTTCTATTTGTGTTTTTGCTTTGAAGCTTAGGGCGTATCAATACACAAACTAGCGTGGGATCCCTGCTGTAATGAAAGTACACAGATTTCATGGAATAGCAGGTGAAAGTTTTCTGAAAATGCGTCCCAGTTTCTTTTAAATTGTATTAAAGGGACCCTAGTATTTTTTAAGAAAGCACCCTAGCCAAGAACATCAACTTTGAATTAGGAATTAAGAAATTAAAAGGAAAAGATCCCACTTTCCAATCTCTTACAAATAATATTATTGGAATGAATTAAGGAATAAGGAAAAACCCTTGCAAAGCCTATTTGAATAATCAAAGTTCCCATTTGGTTCACTATATTTCAAAATTCCTAATTAGGTCACATGACATAAAGAATGATTTAAAATATTGGCAAAATTACTGCAATGCCCCTTCATTACAAAACAATTGGAAACTTGTGAATTATTACGAACCAGAAGTGTTAACTACATAATGGAACTTGGTAATTTTTAAGGCTATCTTGTACTAAAGTTCTTTTCTATATATTTGTTAGAAATGTTTTACTAGGAATGTGTTAGCTAGGAAGAAAAGGAAAGTTGTTAATTTAGAATTCAAACTTATTAATTTTTTTTACCAGAATTCAAACTTATTAATGGCACTTATTAATTTTTAAGTTGTATCATTAATTCATGATCAAGTTTTAGCCAATAATTATTGCAGCTGTGAAATTATCCAAGAAACAAAGTTAATTTAGAAGTCAAACTTATAAATAGTGTAATTAAACTTGTCAATTTTTAAAGTTATATTGTGAACAAATTCTAGTTAATATTCATTACAAGTGTATATATTATGGAGACAGAAAGTTTGTTAATTTAGAATTTAAAATTGTTAGTAGCATAATGATACTTAAACATAGAGGACCATTGTTATCATTTCATCACATTTTAAAATCTTTTTTTTTTTTTTTTGCCTACCTGAAGTGTCATCGTTGAAAGTAGACTTTCAGCGGTGATGTAACGTCCTAATTTTCATATATCTAATATTTAAACAAATTTTTATAAAATAGGTAGAGGTTAAATATAAATATATGCAATTAAAATAATTCTGATTTTATGTGTGTGTATGAGAAAATGAATAAAATAGCGATGTTAAGAAGTCCCACATTGATTAAATGATAGGAAGTGGATAAAATATCAATGTTAAGAAGTCCCACATTAACTAAATGATGGGAAGATGAAGCTCTAGGAGCCTATATATAGGTGGTAGTAGGGAAGAGTTAAAGATGAACCAAATAATTTTCGCACAAAACTGAGATAGTCTCAGTAAAGTGCTGTTTACAAATTTGTAAACCGTTGGATCGAGCTGCAATTTGGTCAGCTGATCCTAGACTTCAAACTTGTTAGTTTCAACAGTTGGATCGTCAATTCAATGTATGAGTTATAAGTTATTAGATATAAACCCCATTGTGGCATTTTCAAGTACGTGCCTCGTTTGTGCTTGATTGTTGGCTAGGAGACCAGGTAACTAAATTTCTATCTGTTACATGCATTGGTATGAGGTTGACGAGTGATTTTATAACCAAGTTTCATATACATACATTATGTTTTGTATGAACTGTCTTATGGGATACTGTTTTGAAAAGGATTGAAATCATTTGTATTGTTAGAAATTAATAATTATGACTACGAGGTGTTATTCGAAATTCGATTGATTATGCATATAAATGTGTTATTTTGAACCCTGTGCATCTAGTTTGGGTAGGGGAAGGAGATGATTGGAGTTATTGAGATTTATACACTTACCATGTGGTATCGGCCTCCATACAGAGCTCTATAGTTGGCCACTATTATTGTCCCACTAGTTCTTCGAGAGACTGCAACACCCCACTAGTTTTTCGAGGGAGGACCCATGGTCCACCGAGTGCTCTGTGGTCTTTGGCCGGTCCATATCACTTGAGTGGTGAGCTTGTCAGAGTAGCCAGTCAAATGAAAAGAACTTAGCCCATGGGTCCAGTCGACGGAAATAAGGAGGATATAAAGATGAATTTGGGTTCATGGATTTCATATGACATGGTATCTTCATTGATGTTTATATCTTTTGAATAAATGAAAAGTATGTTATCTCTTTTGAAATCATTAGTTACATGAGATTGGCAGATATATTTGACCTATATGGTTATTGTGAGTTCAACTGTTAGATAAGTGTCTATTGACTATTATTAACTCTGTGTATCTCACCTGACACCTCGCTAGCCCATGCTAGTTTGTATGATACGTAGAGATTTAGTTACTGAGACGTTATCTCTTCCCTATTGTTTAACATTTTTCAGGTGAAAGCTTTAAAGGAGGGATGTCAGGGAAGGCTCAATAGGAGTAAAGCTATATTAGCAACTTGTAGCGTCTCCTCGATTTATGAGCTATGTTGTATCCTGTATATTGTCACCTTAGGATAAATTGTTTTTAATTGATTCATGCATTATTATTTCTTATGTCCTTTGAGTGTACTATTGTGGTATGTGTGTTGATAGGTGGCCAGAGGCCTAGGATCGCATATTCGCATGTGATTGATTTATGAATTTATTATAAAGTATGAATTAAGATTTAATTCTTAATATTTTGATTTATAAGCTATATTATATGTTGTATTATAACCATATTAGATAAGATTGATCCTTTCTTATATAGTTCGTATTTGAATGAGTTAAGAAAAGTTCTTTTATCCGTGATAAGATGTATGATTGGGTGCTGCTCTTTTCTATCACGGATAACAATATTATATAATTAGTTAGTGTAGATGATTGTGATATAATTCGAGTTTGTATTTAGCATAGTTTGGTTATAAAATGTTATTTCTTAAAGTTACTATGAAAAAATTAAGTGTATCTGTTTATTTAGAGAGGTTGTTTCATTTTGGTATCAGAGCAAACGGTCTTGTAACTCTATGGTTTGTTTATTGCATTGCATATAGATGATGGTGGCATTATACAACTTTCAACATATCCTTCCCTGTCAACCTCTTAGTTTTGTGTGTTATATTATTATTATTATTATTATTTTCTTTTGTTTTCTTTATATTAAGGTGGGTTGCATCCTTAGAAGGGGAGAAAGGGTACAAAACTAAAAAGTTCAAAATATTATTATTATTTTTGTATTTGTAACTAAAAACAACATAATGTTGAGCCAGATGAAGGAGATGATGTTATATTTTTATGAGTAAATTTCAAAGTTAGGAATAAAAATAATAGAATGAGATGTCAAATAAACAATACATAAGAAGAATAATGTGTATTAACTTTGATAACTAAGTTTTACATTGCATTTAACAACAAAATTGTATGAGAATTGTGTCTTTTAATGTAAATATAAAACTATTGAGCTGA